GGGGCGGAAGCAAGGCAGAATCCTGAGGCATGGCCCCTCTGTTAGAGAAAATTTCAGACTTCCCTCCACATCACAGCTCTCATTGATAGCAGGGAGAGCCAGCATGTAGCTCACAGGGGATTTTGAGCATGGTGACCCTGGAACAGCTTCAGATTTAAAGATCATAGAATCTGGGAATGATATCAGTGCTGAAAGGGGCCCTGGCACCATCGAATCCCACCCTCATTTTTATTTTTATGGGGGCAAAGATCAGTGCAAGACTGTGGAAACTGAGGAGTGAGGGTACGAAAGATCACCAGAGCTTGTCAGCTACTGCTATGTCCAAATTGCAAATTCAGTGTCCCAAGAGCCGTGTTCTCTGTCCTTCCTGAAGCCATTCTCCTGTGGCCACTGCAGCCCACATCAGAGAGAGGCCAACTGCCACGCATGACAGTGAGAGGGCCGTTCTGGACAGGCCGAGTCCAGCAGGCCTGACACTCTCGTCTTCTTCCCTTGAATGAGCTGATGTTACAGATCTGGCCCTTTGCCTAGGAAATCAAGTCCTGAAAGACGTGACTTTCCCTCTCCACATTCAGTTTCCTCATCTGTAAATGGAAAAAAGCCACACTTCTGTCTACTTCCTCATGTTGTTATGAGAGTGAAATGAGGAGAATTCTGGAAATTGAAAGTGTGGGACAAGGGTGGTGACACGATTTATAGGACTAACTAGAACCCCAGTGCACAAAATTTGTGCACAGGTAGGGCTCCTAGGCCTGGCCGGTGATTAGGACTGATCTGTGGGGTGACTAGGGGGGGTGACCGAGGGGGCCCCGCTGGCACCCGCTTGGCTGGCCAGGGGCCTGCAGGCTGGGGGCAGCTCCTGCATTGAGTTTCTTCCCCCTGGTGGTCAGTGCGCATCATAGCGACTGGTCGTTCCACCGGTCGTTCTGCTGTTCAGTTGATTTGCATATTAGGCTTTTATTATATAGGATAGTAACCACTGTCTATTCCTGCTGATGCTCTTCAGGAATAATCTCACCACACAGATAGCAAAAGAGCCACTGTTCCTCCTGCGACAAACCATCGTTAGGAGACCAATAGAAGACAATGCGGACCAGAGCACAGGGAGCACTGGTGCAGGACAGTAATACGTCTGAACTGTTGTCCAGATGAAGTAGGGTAGCACAGCCAGTCCTCCCGATGGCCCAGGTCAGCCAGGAGCTTGGGAAAAGCTATTGGCAAACAGGAGACTCAATCCCTGTTTCCGAGGGACACCCACTTACCTTGGGGATATCTGAATGGTAAATAGACGGGTCCCACACAATCAGGATTCCCTCATTGTACAAACTGTCTGTGAGGAAGTTCTGTTCTGTGGTGACCAACTGCAGGAAGAAACAGACAAGCTGTCACCTGGACATGGACATGTAAATGTTTGATTTGTCCCACATCACAAGGACCACCTGAGACCTCCGAGCCCCGCGAGGCTTCTAGGTTTTCGTGCAGCACTTAACTTCAGTGAGAAGAAGGCAAAGATTCCGAACTGTGTGGCCCTCAAAGGGCATTTTGTCATAATGAATCAGCCATAAAGCAGAGAGGGTTGTACTCAGACTTGGAGATTACTGGGTGAGGGTATGGTGAAAAAGGCTTATGGATAGTTCCCTGCAGTTATACTTCATAGGAGGGGCAAGGGGATGAGCTTTAAAGTCAGGATCTCATTTAATCAACATAGTCCCTAGAAATCCTTTTAATCACCTATAAAGTCCAGTACAGTGTCTACAGATTGTGAGGAGACAGACATAGCATCTCTCATGAGTCCCACATGGCCACTGATTTCTGCATCGTTGGAACGGAGGGCTGTGTCTGTGGCTGAGCACCAAATGAAGTCATCAGTCTGTGTGTAGGGGCCATGGTACATACAAAAACATGCACCTCTAAACACGAGAATCTCACCAGGCTGGTGAGATGCTCACACATAACCTGCTGGAGACCAGTCACAGCTCCTCTCCTCCCTCACATTCCCAGGCTTCCAGACTGGCCTGCAAGCGATAGTTAAAGCCCACTGGGCAAAATGTGACTATCATAAGACTCCCCGACAACTGTGCTAGATAAATTTTAGAAAATGCATTTAGTTCCTTAAAAAAATAGTATGAATGCCCTTTGACTCAGTAATTTCACTTTTTTGGCATTTATCCTAAGTGAATCTAAATTCGGGAAGAAAATTACGCACAGAAATGTTAATTAAATTACATACCAACATAAGAAAAGTGTGGTGGCAAGTGAAAGATACCAGAGTTGGATATGAAAAGACCTGAGCTTGATTCTTGGCTCTGCCCTAACTTATCTGGTGACCAGGAGCAAGTGGTATGATCTCCCTAGGCCTTCATACTCATCAGATGGGGTACAGAAGTAAATGAGAAAGACAGCAATGGGGCCCCAAAGGTTTACAGTGAAATACGTCAGGTCACTCCAAAACTGAGATATGAGATCAACTATCAGACATTCCCCTTAAAATGCAGGTGGAAGATGATGTTGCTCAGGTAGAAACTGAGAGGAACACATCACAGAAATCAAGTAAAGAACTGACTGAAAATAAAAGCAAGAATCACAACAATAATCCCACCTGCCCTGGACCACTCACCATCATGAAGGCAAAGACCTAATCAATGTCACTGCAGTGACATTGATGAACAGCTATGGGAGGGCAGACGATCTGTGTACAACCCAAAGAACAGCAATTTGCCACAAGCCCCTTAGGTCATTTGGCTACATCACCTCCATACCTTCCCCCGGATGTAGGGAAGCCCTGGAAGCCTGAAGAATATAATCCTGTCCTCAGTATATCTTTCAGGCAAGAAATACGGGTGGTGGGTCCACCTTGGCCAGGGATTGTGCAGTTGTACAGGGTGTCGGGGTGAGGGTGGCCACGAGGTGAATGAGTGTTAAGGAATAAATAAGAACAGGCCAAGCCAGGGGAATGTGACAATGAGAGGGAGGTTGTCCCATACAGAAGAAGCAACGCGTACAAATCTCCAGATGTAAGAGTGCATGGCAGAGACTGCTAGGTGTCACCCAGTACCCATTCTCTCTTCCTTCCTTGGTAACAAACACTTCTGATGGTTACCTCAAAATATGGCTAACTAAAATAAAGATTAGAAAATACTGAATGTAAACTGTATTGGGGGGGGGGGATTTAAATTTAAAATAAATAAAAAGAATAGAAAAAATAAAAATAAAGGCTATCTGAAATAAAAATTCCCCAGCTTCCCTTAAAGCAACGGTTCTCAACCTATGGGTCGCGACCCCTTTGACGGTCGAACGACCCTTTCACAGGGGTCGCCTGAGAACATCATGCACATCAGATATTTACATTATGATTCATAACAGTAGCAACATTACAGTTATGAAGTAGCAACAAAAATAATTTTATGGTTGGGGTCACAACATGAGGAACTGTATTTAAAGGGTCAGAAGGTTGAGAACCACTGCCTTAAAGCAAAAATTCTGGCCAGTGGTGTGTAAGCAAGTGTGACTTCCAGGAAGTGTCCTTAGAGGCAGGGTTATGTGCTTCCTTGTTCCTTCCTCCCCCTTGCTGGCTGAAAGTGGGTGTGATGACTGGAGCTGGAGCAGTCATGTTGGCCCATGAAGTAGACGTCGCACAAGGGAGTAGGAGCCTGGGTTCCTGACACTCAGGACACCACACCAGCTCTAGAATGTCTACCTCTGGACTTCTTTTTTTCTTACATGAGAAATGCATTTTTCTCTTATTAAGCTAGTGTTAAGGGGTAGGCAGAGTGTTCTTGTCACTTGTAGCCCAATCTAATTCTCAGCGAGGAGCTTGTTAGGGAGTTTCAGGCTACCCAGTTGTAGTTAGGATACATTGGGAGAGCTGGAAGGGACCAGAGACATTTAATTAAGCAGGGGTCATGCAAGGGAACTCAGAATTTCTTCTGTAGATTATGGCAACAATAAAGGCTTTCAAGTAGGACAGATCTAAATAGTCTAGTTTTCTGGAGTAGAGCTTTCAGAGGAAGGGAGACCAGACAGAAGCTGCTGCTGTAGCCTAAGTAGAGAATAATGAAGAATAGTTACAACTGTCAGTTGTAAGTTGCAGACTAACTGGATGCTAAAAGTGAAGGAAAAGGGGGGGGGGGGGGGGCGGTCAAAGGTGACTCCTGAACCTCGAGTCATTTCCTAAAATGAGAACATAGAAAGAAAAGCAATTGCTATGTGCCTGTAGGGGGTTTGAAGTTCACAGATGAGACAACTGGCCTAGAGTCCCACAGCTGAGGCCATAGGAAACAGGAATGAAATTCACATCTTCCAATTTTAAGTGCTGTCCTCTTTCCATGGGGACATTGTACTCACAGCACAGGCATTCGGTGCTGCAGTCCAGAGGCAGAGCAGGCTTCCTGGCACATGGGGCTTAGCAAGACTGAGCTGGTGATAGCGAGTCCATGGGACAGCAGGCCTCCCTCCCATACATGTTTTCCAAGACAAAATTCTACAACTTCACTCCCTCCCACCAAACCTCCCCACCCCACCCCAAACAGCTGGCATGTTGAAAGCACAAGTTTTTTCTTGAGTTCTGCTTAGAGCACTGACACCAGGTGCTTTGTGGTACTCATGAGGATTAGACATAACTGGGATTCTTTAAAATGTCCCCTCCTGCTGCAGCCCCTCTCCAACAATTTTCTTAGTATATACAACAGGAGGCCAGTGGCAGCAACTTCTGGCACCCTGAGACTTTCCCAGGATCTGTGGCTCCTCTGTCCTCAGAAATCTTAAGAGAAAAGCACAAAGTTTCCTCCTTTACAATAAAGGATAACAGCAATGCTATGTGCCTGTAGGGGGTTTGAAGTTCAGACGAGACAACTGGCCTAGAGTCCAACAGCTGACAGGCCATCAGAAACAGGAATGGAACCCACATCTTCCAACCTTAAGTGCCATCCTCTTTCCATGGGGACACTGTATTCACAGCACATATAACAAGAGACACCATTCAGTGATGCTTATTCCAAGCCAGATATTTTCATACATTATCTCAGTTCATTGTCATGATAGTTCTAAAGTCAATTATTAATATGCCCATTTTTAAAATATATTTTTATTGATTTCAGAGAGAGAGAGGAAGAGATAGAAACATCAACGATGAGAGAGAATTATTGATTAGTTGCCTCCTGCATGTCCCCTACTGGAGATCGAGCCCGCAACCCGGGCATGTGCTCTGTCCTGGAATCAATCTGTGACCTCCTGGTCCATGGGTCAATGCTTAAGCACTAAGCAACACCAGCTGGGCAGTATACCCATTTTTATAAACAAGGAAATACAGATACTAAGTAACTTGCCCAAGCCAGTTAGCAAGTTACTTAGGCGAGTCTGAATTAGAGCCCTTTTGACTGGCACCAGAATCCACACTTCTAATCTACACAGTGCACTGCCTCATACAAGGAGGGTAGCATGCGACACCCATGGCTCTTGCAAGGAAATTGCAGAGAAAGCACATGACGAGGATTATGGAAGTGTTATAAGAGTTTTGCCTTTTGTTTGAGTTGTTTGTCACAGCAGGAAGATCCTTGAGGGACTAGATCCAAATCCATTCTTTTCAGATGGCTAAACTGGGGTCCAGAGAGAAGAGAGACTGTCTGAGGCTTCAAGGTGAGTCTGAGGCAGAGCCAGGACCAGAGGTCAGCTCCTTCCAAAGTATTCCTTCTATTCCCATAAGGCTACCTTCACAAACCACAAGATACTCAAACAAGCCAGTGCACTATTAGGAAATGGGCCACCTTCAGTTCTCACGGCACCCGAAGGGGAAATGAGCTACTTGAGCTACTTGAGGCTAATGAAAAAGTAATTCATGAAACTAAGATGAGGTGGAGATAAATGCTAGCTTTATCCAGGAGAAACAGAAAGTGTCAGGGGCTGGGATCTGGTGGACAGAAAAGGGAGAAGCCACAAGCCCCCCCCCCCCCCCCCCCACCTCAATCTTAAATAGACATGGCTCTGAACTTACCACATTAATTCTGGCAGCCCTATGAGTGAGATTCAAAGAGTTGCATACAAAAAAAATAATCCTCAGAAGTGCTCAGGGAATTGGGGGACTGCTTTGAGTCTAACCCACTCTGGTCTTCAGTCACTTCCCCTCTCCAGACCTCAGCTGCCTCATTTATAGGACACTACCATCCTCTAGGGCAGCTATCGCCAACCTTTCAGACCTCACGGACCACCGATCAATGGTTTGGGACCGCTGCTCTAGGGTCCTTCCCAGGTGACCAGCAGTGCCCAGAGCACATCTCAGTCTGTCACTTTCTCAAGTGCAGCAGAAGGGACTTGGGAGAGAATAAAGCTCCTCTCAAATGCGCCTGTACTCACTCACATGCAGAGT